TTTTTTTTTTTTTTTTAAGCTCTTCTTTGGATGTCTGCTGCCTTTTCTTCTGTTCTCCATTAACATGATTCCACACTGCTTTTGTAATGTTGAGGTTCAGGCTCTGGGTAGGCCAATCCATACTAATGGTGTTGTTTGTGATCAAATGAAAAATGAAGCAATCCAATCAGGAAGCCAAGGAGGTACAGGACTTTTTCCTCTTTCTGTCTTTGTTTGCATCAATATAATCTTGCTTCCCTGTTTAGTTGTGCCTCTCTTCCTGTTTTATTTTGGTTATTATTTCTCTCTGTGTCCTCTGTGGGTTTTACTTCCTTTGTCTCATTATTTAGTTTCAGCTGTACTTCCACCTGTTACCTCTGCCCTCATCACATTCTCTCTGCCAGGCAGCTATACTGTAACACTTAGCACTTAATTCAAAGCAAGGGTCAGATGCTATTCCCTTCTTATGGTCAGATGAAGGTTAAGGGATGTTTGTGGTTTTTTTTGTTATTTGAACGAGTTGCTTAAAGTAGATTTTTGACCTTTTTAGTATTTAGACACAATTAAAAGCTTTCACCAGTATGTTCATTGAAAATCTTGATTTGATTAAAAAAAGGTGCCTGAAGTAGTTCTGTTGCCCTAAAAAATATTCCCTTAGAAATTCTGTACGTATACTGGATCATGTTGCTTTCACACAATACAATATGACTGGATTGTATTGCCTAATAGTCGAGGCTGTTCCCAGTCTGTAACCTGAACTGCTTTATTGTCACACTGGAGATCAGTCTCAAGATCAGCTAACAGCCCAGATCTATGCTGTGCCGACTTAAAATGGTCCAAGAAGGAAGGCTCTGTTCCTCGAAAGAAAATACATTTCATTTTACTTTGTTGAGAACTTGTTAACTTGTTTTTTGAAATTCTGTAGTAGAAATGCACACATTAAACAAAGAGGAAAAAAGATACACGGTGGTTAGCACTGTTGCCACACAGCAAGAAGGTCCTGAGTTCAATTCCACCATCAGGCCGGGGTCTTTCTGTGTGGAGTTTGCATGTTCTCCCCGTGTTTGCGTGGGTTCTCTCCGGGTACTCCGGCTTCCTCCCACCATCCAAAGACATGCAGTTTGTGGGGATAGGTTAATTGGATAATCCAAATTGCCACTAGGTGTGAATGTGAGTGTGAATGGTTGTCTGTCCCTGTGTGTGTTGGCCCTGTGACAGACTGGCGACCTGTCCAGGGTGTACCCCACCTCTCGCCCTATGACAGCGCCCCCTGCGACCCTGAAAAGGATAAGCAGAAGTGAATGGATGGATGGAAAAAAGATACTTTGTAGATATAATTTAAATTGAAAACTGGTTCCTTGCTACGTTTTGGCTCATTCTTTGAGTTACCTAGCTTGCCTTTTCATGCATTAATTATTCATAGCTCAGTGTTAAGCATTTCAGCAAACAAAAAACAGTCATCCTTTATTCTTCTTAAAAGGATTCAACTAAAAATGAGTGGGAGTGGGGGGGGGAACAAAAAACAAACAAACAAACAGCCGGCATCAAAAGGAAACTGAAAGACTTTAAGAAAAAAAAGTATTTCTCAAGACCACTTTAGAAATTACAAGAAAAGAACCGGTGGGTGGTTCCAGACTTTTGCACATTACTGCATGTAAACTCCAAACCAAAAGTTCATTTGAGGGGCTTTACTGCTAAAAACCTAGCAAAGAATATAGAAAATATCTGTAATGTAACTGATCACATCAATGTTGATGTGATCAGAAAAGATGAGCAGGAAGGTATGAATGTTGTGAACATGAGCGCAGCAGAGCGATATTTAAAGCTCTCTGTCTGTTCTTTATTTTACGCAATGAAAGACTTTTGTGTAAAGCTGCTGAAAGCGTTTGAACACAGTCGTCACGCTTTGTTCATTTGTTTGAGAAAAGTGTTTGTTTTGCACGCATGTGAACACAGTATTGTATAGAGCATAGTGGAAAACTGTCGGGCACATAGGTTGTCTTTATAGAGCAAAGCTCCAGTGTCTGCCATGGTTTATTGACTCATTTTACTGAAAAGCAATAATGTAAACAAAAGACATGTGTGACATAAGACCCTACTAGTAGTAACTGAGGACAGCAGTTATATTTGTGTTAATGGGTAACATCTGCAGCTCAAAACCAACATAACCTGTGTGAAAGGGTTGAGCTACAAAATGATAAAACTTTTAATTAATACTAAAATAAGCATAAGCTGAGATGCATGAAGTCCATAATCAAAGAAAAGGCTGATAAATTTTACCTGTTGAACATGTTCTAAAAACAGGATTGGTTCAATTCTGCAAATATTGAGTAACTTTAAACAATCTAACGTGTTTTACAGGTGTCCCTTGCCGTAAAATATGCTTCAGATCCAGAGATCAAGTTTCCTGTAGTCATCCTGCCAGCCTTCCAGGCCTATCCTGCAGCGCCACCAGACTATTCCGCTGCGGCTGCTGCTAGCCCTTTTGGATTCAACCCAAACCTGAACCCAAACCCTCCAGTGGGGGGTTTTGAGCCACAACAACCAATAGCAGCTCCCCAACCGTCAGATTCCCCTCCTCCTTATGGAGCATATGCAATGTACCCTCAATTTCCAGATTTTTGAGAATAAATCCTAGCAACAGGTCTGACCAGATGCTTTGCCAGGAAATGGTGTGAAAACACTGAGAAGCATACTGTGGTCATTAAGAGCCACTCTAGTGTTCACCAAGCACTTCTGTGGCTATAGACTATACCAAATCCCTATAGTGTGTGTTTAACTGCCTCATATAGGAGTATCCACTCCCGATTGTTTCTTCTTCTTTTTTTTTTTTTTTATTTAACACTTGATATCTTAAGTGCCTGCGTGTTACAGAAAGACGTCTCTGAATAAAAGGGACAAAATGTAAAACATTGCATTTATTACAGGAACAAGTAATGCTGTTTGACTGGTTTGTTTTACACCTAAAAACCTTTCTCAAAAGTAAAGAGAAAAATATTTTCCATTCACTGGTTAACAACATTACAACATCAAGCTGGATTAAATCTTTGAAATGAAGTTTTGTATGATAATAAACGTTTTTTTAAGGCAATAAACCTCTTTGGTTTTTGGATTTATTTATTTATTTTTGGTTTGTTTTTTGCGATGTAACACAAAACATGAAGCTGACATAACTAGACATCTTTTACTTTGAGTTAATTACTTTCAGTTTATGGGGCCCTCAAAAATCTTGACTGCAACATTTTTCTTCCTGGTATTTTTTTTTTTTTTTTTTTTTAGGTTTTGCCAGTGTTTCCAGATTAATTTTGACTATTTAGACAGTTGACAATTTCTGGTAAGAGGTGTCATTAACACTAATTTACCTAGCACGTGTTTCTCCAGGAAAAGTTGATACCTTTCCTTTTGTATTATTTCTTAACCTACTGTGAATATTATAGCGATGTTAGTGACAATAACAAAGAAGAATTTTTTAATGTTCTTTGTGGAACTTCCCCTAAATTTAAACAATCAAAATATGTGAAAAGATGTCTCCTAAGCCTTGGTAATCCCCCCCAAAAGGCCCTTTTGTCATCTCTCTGAAAAACGGGGTCTATTGTTAAGGTTACTTCTCATCACTTCTGCTTAGGATTTCAAAGGGTTAAACATGGCATGTAATGGGCGTCAAGTGGAAGATTTACTGTAGGTGTGGTAAAATATATCATGTGATGCAGCCAGCATGTGGCAGTCACACCTACAATAAAAAAAATAAATTAAGTTAACCGGGTTGTTTTTTTTTTGCTGCCCCAATATGTGGTTGTGAAGAGAGCATGCTGGTTATCCAGAGAGTGTGTGCTTTGACTGTCTCGAATCAGTCATAATGTAATCTCATGTTAAACCCCGTCGAGTTTCCATAGCTGAAAATCTTTTAGTGGCACTGCTTTGGGCGGGTGTATGATACAAGAAAAACTGGTCTCACAACATTTGCATACTTGAAAGCAGATATAACCGGCAGAGAGTGGCTGCGCTGGGCACAACTGGCCTGAGTTTTCTCTTGGTTTTTGCAACAGATTTTTGTTTTTCCCCCCCACTTTTTGTCATCCATTGAAAATGGCCATTAAAAATTTCTCAATCGAATACGATGCCATCAACGGCAAAAACACCTTCACGAATGGAGATGTCATTAATGGAAGAATTATTGTGGAGGTGTCTGGTGAAACCAAAATCCAATCGCTGATTTTTAGTGGACAAGGAAGAGCGAAGGTATGCTGGAGTGAGCATTACGGACAAGATCAAACCCACGTTTACTGGGCTACTGAGAAATATTATGACATCAAACAACATATCTTGAGAGAATCAAGACACGATGGTGATGTATTGAATTAACACAGTTGCTAACATGTGATACGTTGTTCCTTGTTTAACAGACTGTTCAAAACAACACCTACTTCTTTTCCAGGCACTGATGTCATTGGAAAAGGAAGACATGTGTATCCTTTTTCGTTCAGGATTCCTGATGGGTACCTCTTCTTTTCTTAATCAGAGGTTTAGATTTCCACTATGCTTCTTTGTGGGTCATTTGAATGTTTTTGTATTGTATTTTACAGAATACTGCCATCAACCTATAAAGGAGCCCATGGCAAAATTGTTCATAAGGTGAAAGCAGAGCTGAAACAATCAATGAAGATTACAAAGAAAACCAAGGCCCACTTCACTTTTGTGTCCAAGGCACACATGGGTATTCCTGGACTTCTGGTAAGAAATCATTAATCCTAAAAAAGCAATAATTAAATTTCATAATTGATAGTGTTCAGGCAGAAGATATCATTACCTTTAAGCACATTTATAATGTGGGCGTCTGCTTTTTAGGAACCTCAGTATACTTGTAAGGATAAATCTGTTTTGGGCTCTGGAAAGGTTTCAGTAGATGTCCATACCACTCAGATGGGATACATGCAAGGTAATTATCTTTACTTGGCTTACTGCCTTTCAGTATTTCTGCCCTCTCCCTTATTTTTATTTTTTATTTTTTGGAAAGTGACTATAAGTTTAAGTCAAGAGCTTTTTACTCCTTAGACTCCTTCCCTAAGGAAGCATCATTTAAAAATACTGCTTTATATCATCCCAGCTACTTAAAGTGCTTGTAAACAGGAAACCAGTGTGCATAATTCAGTGAGAGGTGTTTCTGTGGAACTGATCCTTTGATTATTGAAAGGAACTTAAAGCTGATTGAGTACTAAGCTAAAAGTTGTTGTTGTAGTTTTTTTTTTTTTTTTTTTTTTTAGCTTGTTCTGTTTTGTTTTTATGAGTACGAACCGAGCTGTATGTAACTATATGATGCTGACGTGCTGTTTTTGGCAACATCTTTGGGGGGTACATTTGGCAAGCTAAATTATCAACCACTGTACACTAGACTTACAAGGAAGGTAAAGACAAAAAGTTGAAAAGTCTAATAATCATTTAAGATAGAAAAAAGGTTGCATTTGATGCCTTTTGTGCCAGGAACATTAAGTCATGTAAGAATAAAGCTCTCCAGACTCTTTTGCGCCTTATTTTGTGTCATATGTGTAAGCGCCAGACGTCTGCTTTATATTTTTATTTACGATTGAGTTCATGTTTGTTTTATAATTCATAGATTCATTACATAAGTCATCTTTTCAGGATTAATAAACGTGAGTATATGTGTTTACATAAAGTAATTTTAAGTCACTGTTTTGGGATTGGAACCTAAAAGGGGGTACCTCTCACTTTAAGTATGTAAGTGCAATAGTAGCATAAAACCCTGTGTGAGAGGGAAGGGGAGGAGCATGGACAGAGAGGTTAGGAGTCTCACGGTTTTCTGACCGTGTGCACAGGTAGTTCTGGAAAACTGCTATTTTTTGGAATTTTCATGCTTATTTAGGAAAGAGTTCATTGTTACATCTTCAGTTTGTAATAAATAAACAGTCTTCAAATAATAATGCAACTGGAAGCATTTCTTTTGGAAACCAGGAACACGCGTCAGCCATAGACTCCCCTTTTTTGAACTTGGTTTATTGGAAATTACCCTACAATATGCATTTGGAGGAAAATGGCATAATGGCTGTGTTACACTGAGATGGATTTTGTTTTATGTAGTTTCATGTTGTTGCTTTGTTGGGAGGATGGCTCTTGATGGTATATGCCCAGATAAGTTGGCCTCTGGATCACCCGACTTTAGCCAACTGCATAAAAGCATCCTGAACTCCTGTAGAGAGATATAATGTAGATGTCAGGAAATGTCTTTCTGTGCTTGGCAGTGATTTATACAGGATAACTTTCTATACTTTACAGGCGAAGCTCTCGTGGTCACAGTTGAAATCAACAACAACTCGAGTCGCACAGTGAAGCCCAAATTCATACTGTATCAGAAACACAGTTTCTTCGCTCAGGGCCACAGGACAGTTTACACACACGACATCCTTAAGGATAAGGCCGAGGCTGTTGAAGCATCTTCTGGCAGAAAAACCGTGACCAAGGTGATCACCATCCCTAGAGACCTACCCCCCTCCATCTTGAACAGCCACATCATCAACCTGGAGTACATGCTGAAGGTAAACAACTTGTAGAGCTGTCCTTTTGCTTGTGTACTTGAGTACTGTTTAAGTAATATAACTAATGGTAGGAAGCTTGTCTTTGTTTCTGTATATGCCATTTAAAAGGTTTTGTTTGGGCTGTTAGTTGGTTAGTGGCACCTCTTTTCTGTCACAGGTGACTGTAACAAATCATTTTTATGGAAAACTGTTAAATTGCTTTTCTCTTTCCTCATTTTAACATTCACAAAAGGAAATAAAATAAAGGATGTAAGTACTCAGAGGAACTAATGGAAAAAAACAAAGAATGAGAAGTTTGGATTAAAGCATGAGACCTCTAGTGACAAAACAGGGCAACAACAAAGCCCTGCTGAAATAAATAATTCCTAAACAAAGTCTTAAACAATTCTGTTTGTGTGTTATTTTGTTTGCACAGGTCCAACTGAATATCAAATGTTCTATTGATCCAAAGCTCAAACTTCCTATAGTTATCATGCCTGCGGTTGTGAAACAACCACATCCTTCTGCTGGCATTGGATTTGACACTTTTAGGAACCCAGAAAAACCATCCTGGGGAACTACACCCCAGCAAACACCATCCCATTTTGGAGATCTTCCACCTCCCTATGGAGCACATGCGATGTACCCCACTACCACTCTTGATGATTATAAGACTGCACTTTAAAAATCTTCCTTGAGAGAGAACATTTAAGCCTTAAACACAGACTTGACACAAATGATTGAATACATTCAAAAAAGCAGACTGGTGTGCTGTTAAAGCTACCAACCACCTATTGTTTTTTCCTTCATACCCCAAACTGTGAAGATGACATCAATTGAGGCAATAAATCAGAAAATGCTGGTTTTCATATTAGCAGTTGTTATCTTCTAACTCCTAACAAATTTTAATTTACTTTCCTATTTAAACTGTAAGATTGTATACATTTAATATCTGTGTAAATAATATATTTACAATGTTTGTCAGATTTGTATTGTTGATTGTCATTTATGCTTAGAAATATCTACTCATATTCTTCGAGTTTTATAATCAAAGTCATGTTGGTAGAGGTTTGATCCTTAGTAGTCTGTGGAGACTCTGTGTGCCTCCCAGAGCACTCTGTAGCACAAAGAACTTTGCCTACTTGTGTCTTGCTTTTGCTGTGTAGTAAATTGTCTTGAACGTTCCAGCGAATAGGTTTAAGCTGTGTTACTATATTTTTCTAATAAAACATCATATTTGAAATGCAAAACTAACATCTTGTGTTTGTGGCTGGTGATTCCAGTTTAATGTGAACCCTTATATTCTACTCATCATATGACACTGCGTCCTAATGTAATTCTTCTTCTAAAACTTTAGAGTCCATTTGGGCAATTTGGACACGACAACCATTAACTGACGTATAAAAGTATGTGCTCCAAGGTTCACGTTGGGGCCTATGGGGTTAGGAGTAAATTTGATTTAGTCACCGTCTTTGGCAAATAAATTCAATTTAACACCACTGATAACAAATTAAAACACTTCATATTGTGTGGAAAACTACAGTAAGATATGTGCAGGGATGTCATATGTGCTCACTGCAGTTAAAGTAGTGTTAGTAGATATATTAATCCTTTCATGCATGAATTATGACAATCTCAATGTGGATTTTTTTCTTAACTATTTTTATTCATCTTTAGGCATAAAAGACTTTTGAACTTCCAATGGGTTAGAGAAATTTAAATTTAAATAAGAATTTTTTTGTGCACTTACACTGGCTGAAAAGTGGATGGCAGGGTATGAAGTGTGTCACTCCATACCTGACACAAATACAAGAAAGCAGACTTGTATTTGAGTAGCTGTCCACTGTAGGGCCCACTATGCGTGAAAGGGTTGAGACACAAATTGTAATAATACTTTTTAAAAGGCCTAATCACAAAAATCAGGTAACTCAGGTACACCTGCTCAACTGCTCATTAACACAAATATCTAATCAGCAAATCACATGGCTGGAAATCAGTGCTTTTATAGTAGGCATGCAGAGATGGTCATGATGACCCTTCAAAGGATAAAAAAAAAATGAAAGTTTTTACCTCAGGAAGGGCAGCCATGGATGTTAATCTTGAGAAAGTGGGCTTCCGACAAAGGTGTGCAGGTGATACTGACATGCATTTGTCTAAAGCAAAGGTCAGGTTTGGCTTTTCTGCTCTGTATTGCAGAAGAAGGATTAAAAGTTGTGGCCTTCATTAAGAACAGTTCATCTCGTGAGATCAAGCCCAAGTACTGTTTGTACAGAAAGCACAGTTTCTTTGCAAGAGGGAAGAGAAGGGTCCATACTAAAGACCTCTTGAAAGAGGCGGGAGACGCCATCCCTCCATCTCCAGAAGAAACCATCACAAGGGTCATCACCATTCCCCGTGACACTGAGCCCTCAATCTTCAACTGCAACATCATCAAAGCTGAGCACAGACTCAGGGTAAGCAGCTTGAAAAATGTTTGCTAGAAACCGTATTAGTTGGTTATTCCACCTTACTGTCCAAAATTATTGACTAGGGCTGGGTATCGTCACTGATTTCTAGAATCGATTCGATTCCAATTCACAAGGTCACGATTCGATTCAATCCACAATTCGATCGATTCAGTATGAATCGGGGCAATTTTGCCTCAGACAGTCAGAAATAATAATAATAATTCTGATCATTTATCAGTACATATCCATATTTTTATATCTATAAAAAGAAAGCTTACACTTGTGAAACTTTATCACAGGTGTAAGCATCACAGCAGATGCCTTCGTGTCAAAGTAACAGAGCATAAAACAGTAAAACATGGAGATTTTCCTGGCCTGGCTTTTTATAGTAGATAACCTTAAAAATATTCTGCCGTAAAAAAAACAAAAAACAGAAGAAAACCATGAATCAAAATATAAACATTACCTGATGCTGCTGAATTAAAGCAGAGCAAAGTTAAAGAGGTTTAATTAGAGACACAGCTAAACATTTTGCAATTTCACATAATTTTAATAAGTTTACATGTCTTCAGTATTGAACAGCAGAAATGAGGCTTCCTTGTTGAAGTCAGGTTAATAAAAAACAAAACAAAACACAGCAGCCGAGAGCGCTGTACATAAGAGTAGACTTGTGCGTAATAAGCAAACGAATAATGCAGAAAACAAGCCTTTATTGTCCGTCCATCCATCCATCCATTTATTTTCTTCCGCTTATCCAGGGCCAGGTCGCGGGGGCAGCAGCCCAAGTAGAGAAGCCCAGACCTCCCTCTCCCCAGCCACCTCCTCCAGTTTATCCGGGGGAACACCAAAGCGTTCCCAGTCCAGCCAAGAGATATAATC